GACAGAAAGTGAGAAATCACCCCCCCAGGGGGGATGGTCACGCCGCAATCCCTTCTCCTCCATTCTCCTCTCGGGATCTTGGGCACGCACGCACACACACCCGGCGTGAGTTTTAAGCCACCGGATCCAGGACGCGAACCGCGGTCGACTACGTGGGAGTCCAGCGACATAGCCATTGCGCTAACTGCTGGTTCCCGAGATGCAGTCTTTTGAAACAGAGTTTTGGCAAAGTGATTTTTTTCAGACGGGGTTTTTCTTTAAGACTGTTTAATTGAGGATGTTATCTTTTTTTAATTGTGGACCGTTTCTGTCATCGACATTGTCCACCCCTTGTCATCTCGATGGCCGTGGAGCAGAGATCGCAGTCCAGCTGCCGGGTTGCTTTCTGCTCGGGGAGACAGCTTTGGGTCCCGCTAAGGCTGGTCCATGACTGGGGAGGATGATAGCGGAGCCCAGGAGCCTCCCCAGGACTCATGTTCTCTTTAACCACAATAAACACACAGTGAGGCTGAGGGTGAGCCTGTGGGCCCCCTCCCTTCATCACAGAAGTCAGGGTAGCAAACAGCAGGCCAGGAGACCGACAGCTTTAGGATAAGGAAGAAAAAATCTCTCTTTGGAGGATTAAAAAAGAGCTAACTCACTTTGCTTACTTTTTGCCCGCTGTTTTTTGGGGGCACATGCTTACTTTTATCGACAGAGCTTTCAGAGGGCGCTTGCTCTTCGTGTCTTAGTCCTTCTTGCTTACCTCTCTTTCATTGTCACGGGTTTAACTTTCTGCCGTGGATTAATCAAAGCCCAAGGCCCGGGGCAGACTGGGCCCTCAGGGGCAGCCTCCTCTCCATCCGTGCCAGCCCAGCGGGCCCTCCACTCTGGCGTCCAGGGCTGTGTTCTTCGACGTCTGACCCCTCCAGCGACACCTCCTGGGTGTTTCTCAGTGTGCCCGAGTCCGCTCCGGGCTGCTTGCCGGTCCGAGGTCACAGAGGTCGAATGCTGAATCCTGTCGTGAGCTGGGGGAGCTGCTGGGCGTGCGTCAGGAAGGGCTGAGCCGACGTCTGATGGACGATGAAGACCCGACTGCGAGGGATGCAGCTTGTAACTGAGCCTAGGGGATGCAGCCGTTGAGGCAGGCACCTCTGAACATGACGGCCCACAGGTGTGCACTCGGAGGCACACGCGTGTCCATTAGCGGTCCCTGCAGCCCCTGGTAACGTCACGCAGACTTGGCCTCCCAGGAACCGCTGATGCAGTGGGTCATTGCGAGCCTTCCCAAGGGGAGGGGCGTCTGGCTGGGGAATCCCACGTGTGGCTTTGTCATCGGTACGAGATGACTTCTGTACCCTGGCTGCCGGGGGAACCATTCTCGTTAGCACCAGTGCTCGAGGAGACCCTTCTGGCGTCTGAACCTCCCGCGTTGATGAACACTGGGATCACCTTTGGCAAAGTTCCGGACCGACGTGAGGACACACGCCTGTCAAGTCTGGGGCTTCCCGTCCTGCACAGGGCTGTCCTTTCCCCGTGTCCGAAACCAGCGCGCTGGGACGGAGTTTCCGAGCAGCCCTGATCTCGGAGACCGTTGGGCCCTTACTCCTGCTGTCGCCGAGTAGCCTCACAGCTGCCTCCTCTCGTGTGGTTTCATTAGAGGCTTCAGCCCACCAGGGGGCTGCGGGTCCCCACCTATGCAGCTCCAGAGCTGGCTGCTGTTCCCTGCAAGGCTGTTATTTCCATTCTATTATTTCTATTCCAGAGTGGTTTTTTCCCCTCCTGTATTCATCGAGCAACAGCAAGGCACTGTTCCAGGGACTCGCACTCTACAGAAGGCATAACATGGAACCATTTGGATGGAAAAATTATAAATTAAAATTATTCTGTTCATCTTAAAATATTCATATTGTGTTGCTCAAATGCCAGTAAATGGAAAAGCGTGGATAATGTCCTGTTTTTATAACCTCTGCCAGAATGTTTTAAAATCTGTTTACATTGTTACTTAGCCATTGCTTTTCCTGGAGTGGATTTTGTGATAAGATTCTTTTTTTTAAATAAAGAAAAAAAAAAAGAGTGTTTGAATCCAGTGTCTGATGGCATATATTATGTTAAAATAAAGAGGATGCCACTAATTGCAATTTATTTTAAAATAGAAAGATATTATTTCATGT